TAGATCTTCAGCAAATCACCCACTTGTCCAATTAAAATAGCAATTTACAAGCACGGTCACCCAGGGACGGAGAATGCCTGATCTCCTTTCCTGACCACACAAACTGCTGTTGTTTACAAAGGCAGCTCACCAGCCCTTGCCAGCAACAACCACATGCCATGAGTGAGGAGCTGAAAGGGTCAAATGTTAACTAAAACCAAAACAAAGTCATCTTAAATATTGGGAGTGTCTCATCCTCATGTATCCCCAGATGATCCACAAGTTACAGAAACAATAGTAGTTCTCATACTGCCACATTGCTTGTCATACATACAAATAAAATGCAGCCACATTCAGTGGAATTTACCACAATTGACCAGTTCAAGCCAGTTATCTAGCCCTCATCGGGCTTTCGCTAAGATTTAAGATCCCAATGGCAGGAATCCCATCCAAAGAAATCTGCCAGCCAATCAGGCACTGGCTGCTCTCTGTTACCATGCCAACTATAACATTGTTGGCTGTTGTAAAGGTTATGAGAAACAGGTGGCCTTCAAACATATATAAATGGGAAACAGCTATGGCAAAGGATGTTGAATCTGAGCCCGAATTTAGTGGTGACTTGGAGATTAAATGGGATTCAATGGTGCGGTGGTGGTGCCAGGAGGTAGGAGGTTGGCAGCTGGGGGACCCTCTTCCAACGGCATTCCTTGCATGATCAAAGGACCTGGCACCCAGGAAGAGGAGAGAATTCAAACCTCTGTCCTTGACTCCAACATCTCCTACTTGTGTCTTCCTTGACCACATCCCCCCAACCCCCTCAGCGAATCCCATCCATATGGCCATAAGATATTGGAACAGAATTAGGACATTCGGCCCATTGAGTCTGCTCTGCCATTCAGTCATGGCTGATATGTTTCTCAACCGCATTCTCCTGCCTTCTCTCTATAGCCTTCAATCCCACTGCTAATACCACCCTTATTGACCTGAATCCAGAATCTTATGGGGATCTCTGGTGAACATATCATGCATTACTAGGCAAAAAAAACCTTTCTCCTTATTTCCCTTCTTTCTTTGGCTAATTATCTTAAATCTATATCTTTTGTACTGACCTACTACATGTTTGGAATAATTTCTTCTTATTTACTCTTAGAAAGCCTGCTCTATTTTAAATGCCTTTATAAAACCTTCCTTATCTCTTCTGTGCTAAGAACAACTTAAGGTTCTCTAGTCTCCACATGAAGTCTCTTTCTTAGCATCTTTCTGCTAAATCTCTGCTGTTTCTCCAATCATTGTATTCAAAAATGTTTATCAAGTTAAGTAGAAAATTTCAACTTACAGTATTTTGTAGTCTTACCATAAACTAATAAAATTCTTGGTGTCCTTTAAACTCAGTGCTGCATTAAAATGTATTCATCTTTGTTCTACATCAACAATGCCAATTGATTGGCATCATTAGTGATGTGGTTGGGCATTCAATGTTCATGCTCCTTTTCTCAGCAAAGCTTTATTTACAAGTGAAAGAAATGAATGCATCGTTTAACACATTTGTAGTGGTATTTGTAGAACCTGCTGCAAGCTGAGAGGATCTAAAATGTTCATCTCCATGGATGAATGTTGTCTATCATATTTTTGATGAAGCTTTAATATTCTGTAGGATCTAGGCCAATTCTAGCTTTTAGGAAATAGGCTTTTCCTTTAGCTTTGCAACAAATTTTATGATGGTGTGCCTTATCAAAGTACACATTTTATATTTGTCGATGCTGTGTGAATTTACAAAGTTGAACCAATCTAGGAAAAGAAATTGAATTGGATTGATAGTTATGCAATGATGACTCTTCCAGTGCAACATTAGAATATTTGGTTTATTGGTTTAAATGTTTTATTGGTTTAAAAATAACGAAAGAAATTGTCTTAGTTTTTAATAGCTTTTGAAAGCTATATGTGGATTCAGTGAAGAATCTGATGAAAGGTTTGCACAAGTGTAGGGACATTAAAAACTTTCTAGTTTAGGTTTGTTTGTTCATGAGGTCAAGATAGATATATATATTAGCACTTGTGTACTCTTAATTATTTGAGAATTTATTTTAAATAGTTAAAGCAACATAAAATGTTTTTGACTGCATGTAAGTTGGCCAATCTGTTTTATTTGTCAATAATCATTATAATTGTGTTCTGTTAGCTTGTGTTCTGTGTGCCATGCAGAGATTGAAACTGTTGATTATATAGGATGTTACAAACCTTTTTATCACGCTGTTACATTGATTGCAGTTGCACTTCAAATTGGTAACTGCAGTATATTTGCCAGCTGGAATGTGCACTCACAGAGGCTTGTTATCCTACAAATTGACTTCAGTCTCATATGCACTGACGTCATAGAATCATACAGCATAGAAACAGAACTGTGAGCCCAATGTGTCTATGCCAACCAACAAACGTCAAACTACACTAATCCCATTTACCTGCACTTGGTCCATAACCTACTATGCCCTGGCAGTTCAAGTGCTCATCCACGTGCTTTTTAAATGTTGCAAGAGAACCTGCTACTACTACCCTCTCGGGCAGTGCATTCCATATTTCTACCAAAAATGGTTTTCTCAGATATTCTCTACTACTTACTCCTCACCATAAATTTATGCCCTAGGTCTTAGACAGTTCTGCCATGTGGAAAAGATTCACCTGAGGACGCTTGTGCATTGTTGTCATTCTGTTTGTATGGTGACCTTCCAGCATGTGCAAAACAATTCAATGTGCTGTGGTTCAGTGATAGAATTCTGCCCTCTGATCCCTAATTGCTCATTCAATCCCCAGTTTTGGGCTTCAGCATGTAACTTAATTTGTCAATTAAACGCAGCGCTGAGAGAGTACTGGTTGTTATTGCCTTGTCAGTCACAAGTTCAAGGTTTGTTAATGCTGTTGTAAAGGTTATGAGAAACAGGTGGCCTTCAAACATATATAAATGGGAAACAGCTATGGCAAAGGATGTTGAATCGGAGCTGTGAGACTGAATAAGTCAATAAACTCTGCAAAAAGAAACCAATGTACATAGCTTTTCCATCTCACCAGGTCATTATAGACATTTGCAGGAGAAACCAAATATTGTTGGACACAACTGTAGTTCAGATTATAACTGACCATTGTATTATCAGATGTTTTTTTTAAAATTGGTTTATGTCGAAACATTTCTCACATCCAATTTTACTGAAATTATAACAATTGTAACTTATAATGTTCTAAGAGCAGAGGAATTTCTATTAAGAAAGCAAGGAACTGTGGATGCTGGAAATCAGAAAAGAAAATAGAAATTGCTGGATAAACTCTGTAGGTATTCAGTACTGAAGAAGGGTCACTGGACCTGAAACATTAACTCTGCTTTCTCTCCACAGATGCTGCCAGACCAGCTGAGTTTTTCCAGCAATTTCTCTTTTAGCTTGTGAGAAATTTTTATTGTTTGTTTTCAGCTAGTTCCAATATTTTTCACAACTAGACCTCCATAAATTTGGGAATAATTGAATTTTGTTTCTTCAATGTCCTAAATAGGATTTTTAAAAAAATTAAATTTGATGCACTAAACACATGGTAATAGCATAGTCAACATATTGCTCTGATTTTGAGCAGGTGGGATAGCTTTGGCATTATCTTAATTTCTACTTTGTGAATAACAAAATTGCACGTGCAGCAATCCTGAAATTATAATAAATAGTTAATATAATTATAGTCTATTTTACTGATGCTTTGCGTATCGATTCTAACACCTGGAGCTTAGCCAGAGATTGTGTGCCATGGGGTGTATTGTCCTTGCATAGAGAGTGGAGGTGTATATCTAGATTTCTACTTCGAACTTAGTGTCCAATTCATAACCCAAAACAGACTATTTAGATTCATAAAAATTGGTCCAACTTTGTTTGGAGCACTCCTTTTGTTTATATTGATTTCTTGCAAATTATTATGTAATGTAACCCTTTAAAGGATCGTTCGTAGGTCAGAAGACGTTGCTAATATCAAGTTCACAGGGTTATCGTGACAAAGTTAAGAATGTGCTGCATCTGAATGTTTCAGAATTTATTCATTAATATTTATATGGCCACTATTTACTCATTAATCAACCTGACAAGAAACAGATTTATTTGATCATTATCAAATTGCTGTTTTGGGGTATTTGCTGAGTGCAAATTAGATGTGGCATTTCATGTATTGTGACAGTGTCTGTAGTTCAAAGAGTACTTCATTGACCATAAGGTGCATTGAGCTGTCTAGTAGTCATGAAAACCATGAGATAAATGAATGCATTTATTTTTATCAGTGCTTTCGAATTTTACATGCAAAGATGATCATTTTTGTGGAACTGCAAATCTTTGAATAGTTTCAATTAAATATGTTGATTGTCCTTTTTGGGTCATTTTAAAAATTCCTAGTTGTGTATGTAAAGATATATAAGGCAAAAATATATATATGCTGGTCTTTAGTTTGCTCATAACTCTCTATACAGATCCATCTTTGAGAGATATTTGCATTGAAATCCTAATTGGTAGAGCTTTCCAAGATTCTACCGTACAGGTGATTCTGACCAGCCTTATTGGATATTGCATCTTATTCCAGGTAATAGCACTATTGTATTTGCGCTTATGAATAAAATCTATTTTGAATACAAATCTCATGGAACCAGAGGCATTTGTCTAAATTTGCCTGAACTATTCATTATGACTAAAATATTGGTTTAGAAAGAAGCAATGCAGTCTGTTCATATTCAAATAAAAATGCAATTTTTCATGTGTGAGTGTTCCATTAGTTGCTGTTTTATATAGCATTGTAATGGCATCTGATAGGGGTCCATTAGTCAAACTGTACGGTCGATTAATAGAACATTTGAATGCTGTTCATTGTAGCAATAATGAGAATGGCGATGACAGGGCCACCTAAAGGCAGTCTATGTGGTTTTACTGAATTGTTTTATCAGAAATAAATATTGCTGTAAGCTTCTGAAGTTGGTCACTTTCACTCACAGACTTTGTGTTGAATCTCAGGAAATGAATGGAATATTGAAGACACTGCTGTCAGATTGGTTTTCGATAGGATTCTTAAACCTTGAGCGCATCACCTGGCAGTCCTCTTGTGATCTGCTGCAGAAGATTAGCGAGTAAGTGTTTCTTAATCACTTTTTTCAGTAGTTATTACAGCAATTCTACTTTGCCAGCAGACTTACAAGTTAATTTGTGATCAGTCTCACTAAAATCAAATCAATTAATGGTATTACTTCACTTAATGCTCACTTTTAGCTAATTTCTGGCCAAACTAATCATCAAATGATACATAGTGGAGGAGGCCATTCATCCCATTGTGCCTGTGCTGGCTGCTTAAAACAGCTAAGCAATTAGTCCCATTTTCTTGGTATTTCAGCTCTTCAAATGAAATATATTTAGTGGTGAGCCAGAATTAAGTACACTCATATGTCTGACTTTCTGTACAGAAAAATACTTGTGAAAAAATATTCTACTTGTAGGTAGACTACAGCTACCATGCACAGTGTACATGCTACACTGACCTGTCTGAAATTGTACTAAGCAGATAGGACTGCCATCAGCAAATAGAATAGGAAGGCCTTCTGTCTGATTTTAATTAGGTCCAAGAGTCTTTTTTTGAAAAGGTTTGATCTCTCGTGATTAGGGTGAATTTCTAACTTGTTCCACTGCTCAACTAACCAGAGTTCCAATCCCTGTAGTTATTTTTAATGAATTTTTAATAAATTATCAGTGCTCAGAAGCTGAGTATGCAGTATTTATTTTATTTCCTACTGGCCAAGCATTTTGTTTTTTGAGATCTAATTAATTGTTGTATTTTTGAGCTTTATGAGCAACTTTTTTATGTTATCAAATCAAAGAGTCATACAGCACAGAAATAGACCCTTTGACCCAACTCATCTGCGCCAATCAGACATCCCAATCTGACCTAGTCCCACTCGCTAGCATTTGGCCCATGTGCCTCTAAATCTTTCCTCTTCATATATCTATTCTTTTAAATGTTGTAATTGTACCAGCCTCCACCAGTTCCTCTGGCAGCTTATGCCCTACACACACCACCCCTTGCATGAAAGTTACCCCTCAGGTCCTTTGTAAACCTTTCCCCTCTCACCTCAAACATATGCCCTCTAGTTTGGACTTCCCACCCTAGGGAAAAGACATTGGTTATTCACCCTATCCATTGGCCTTCCTGATTTTATAAATCTCTATAAATTCATCCCTCAGCCTCTGATGCTCCAGGGAAAAACCCCCAGCTTATTCAGCCTCTCCCTATAACTCAAACGCTCCAGGCCCAGCAACATCTTGTAAATCTTTTCTGCACCCTTTCACGTTCAGCCCCCTTCCTATAAAGGGGTTTACTTCAGTTCCAGTCCCCCGGTGAAAATAGCTTAAACACATTTATTTCTCTCAGGTATGAGGCAGTGCATCCTGTCAGAAACTGGGCAGATATTAAACGCCGAGTTGGACCTTACCGAAGGTGCTATGTTTTTACTCACAATGCTATGCCAAGGGAGCCTCTGATAGTTTTACACGTGGCACTGACAGATGACATCTCTAACAATATACAGGTAAACTCGCTATATTACAGTTTTCCTACAATGTACATCAATTAAAACCTGATATTGACATTGATTTTATGTAAATATTCTATTTAAATGTTCAGAAAGCACATAAGAGTATTATACCATGGAAAAATGTTTCTTGGGTTTGATTGTGACTCAATGATAACACTCTTGCATCTGATCCAGAGGTTTGTGAAGTCATGTCCCACTTCAGGGCCTTAAGCAAAAATTGAAACTGACTAGCACTGAGAGATTGCTGCACTGTTGGAAGTGCCACCTTTTGAATGAAATTTTCAATGATCCCATGACACTTTAGCAAAAGAGCTGGGGAATTCTGTGAGGAAAATGTGCATTGAGTGTGAGAGGCAGGAAAATTGCATTAAGCTAAGAGAGAGAGAAAGAGAGTCATAGTAATTGCTTTGGTTTGGATAGAAGGTTAGCTTTGAACTAACCAACCTCTGATGAATGGACACTGCAACAATAGCCAGACAGGAATGCTCCCTCCCAGTTGGGGAACACTTCAGCGGTCAGGGGCGTTCAGTCTCTGGTCTTCGGGTAAGCGACCTCCAAGCCGGCCTTTGAGTTACACAACAACACAAAATCACTAAGCAGAAACTGATAGCTAAGTTCTGTACCCATGAAGACGGCTTCAACCGTGATCTTAGGTTTGTGTCAACCTATATGTGACCCCACCACACTTTTGTATCTGTAAAATCTTCCTTACTATCCTGTTTTGACACCATCACCCTGATAAATTGTTATGATCTCTCTACCTTAATTAGTTTGTACAGTTTTGGGTTACTTATTACTTTGGTTAGACCCTTGGCATGCAACTCTTATACCTATCATGGTAATCTAGTCAAAGTTGCTGGAAATGCTCAGCAGGTCTGGCAGCTTCTGAGGAAGGGTCACCGGACCCGAAACATTAACTCTGTTTATTCCCTTCACAGATGCTGCCAGACCTGCTGAGCTTTTCCAGCAACTTTGTTTTTGTTCCTCATTTACAGCATCCGCAGTTCTTTCAGCTTTAATGTTATTCTAGTCATTTAGTTTGTCTCCAGCACCACCTTATTTTTAATTTTTTGTAATTATTTTTCTGCCTCATTTAATCAGATTATGGGTCATCCCTTCACTCGTTATTCAGCTGTTGACACTTTACTCTCAGAGCCTGGTGCTCTTGATCACCTGCAGAGATCTATTATTTGGCCTGTCGACACTCTACTCACACCATTTGTATGGCCTTTTGATCTCTCTCCATATAAATTCTGTGCCTGTGTGCTTCTCTCTCACTTCACCTGACAAAAGGGCACCACTCCAATTGCATATGATTTCAAATAAACCTGTTGGATTATAACCTGGTGTTGTCTGATTTCTAACCTCTGATTATATAACGCTTAGAAAAAGTAAACATTCAGCTCACCAAGTGAGAGAGATAACACACATTCTTTGTTTCATTTAGCGAAACGAAAGCAACAATCTGAAAGCTGAAAGTGTTCAATTCACCTACGTTTTGAGAATAATTTGAACATTTATATTCCTTACAATGTCCATGATTGAGAGCAATCAAATATGTAGGAACACCATCTCAGAACGCACATTAATTTATTTTTAGAAAGTTACAAAAAAATTGCTGCTCTGCAACAGATTTCCATCAACTATGGCTCATGCACGCTCTCATCTCCTCATTGATGACAGACACTAAGGACCAGATTTTCATGCTTCTTTCCATGCCAGAAGGGAGGGTGGGCTGGCAATACAAAGGAGGAGGACCTTATTCTGGACTGCCATCCCTAATTTCCATTGCCAGTAATTGTTCATGGCACGGGTACGGGTACAAATTGTGAATCTGCACACAACAATCCTGCCTTGTCAGCTTTATTACAAAGATGGAAATTTCACACACCCTGAAATTCTGATGGAGTTGACCTGGCTTCTGATGGAGACATATTTTGTGATACCTCAGAGGAGTCATGAACCATCAGGGATCTCTAGACTGGAGTCCAGAATCTTGATCAGAAAGTTCAAAAGACATTGCCGAATTCATGTGTCTTGATATGTTAAAAATGGTTTTTAATACAGGGCTTTATGAAATATTGATAAGGCTTTGTTTTGAAAAGGGGCAGCACGGTGGCTCGGTGGTTAGCACTGTTGCCCCACAGCACCAGGGACCTGAGTTCGATTCCAGCCTCGGGCGACTGTCTGTGTGGAGTTTGCACATTCTCCCTGTGTCTGTGTGGGTTTCCTCCAGGTGCTCCGGTTTCCTCCCACAGTCTAAAGATGTGCTGGTTAGGTGGATTGGCCACGCTAAATTGCCCGTAGTGTTCTGGGATGTGTAGATTAGGTGGGTTATAGGGGTATGGGTATGGGTCTGGGTGGGATGCTCCTAGGGTCAGTGTGGACTTGTTGGGCCGAAGGGCCTGTTTCCACACTGTAGGGATTGTATAAAAAATGATAATTGACTAGTGTTGTGAGAGTGAAAAGCTGTTTAGATACGTAGACTACATTATCCAATGAATGGAATTTCTGTTCTGCCTTGAACAGTGCTGATATTCAGAAATGAATAAAGTGCTGTGATTTGGATTTGGCTATGGGAATAGTCCCTGTGATTTAATTTTTTTAAGCTCTGTTCGCAAATTTGTTTCCCTTCTTCCAGGCCTGCACAGATGACACATATCAAAGATTTAAATGTCTTTAGCTCTGGAGATTTTGTTATGCAACTGTTTGAGGCAATCCCATTATGAATGCTTTGCTGATTTCCAAGACCACTCTATGAAATCAGCTTAGTAGCGGTTGTTGACACAGCCACTCAATAGAATTTCATTATGCATCCTTGGTCAACCTCCAGACTCAACTGGATTCATTTCAGCAGGGGAGGCGATGGTGGTATTATTGCTGGAATGTTAATCTAGAAATCCAGATAACATTCTGGGGACCCGGGTTTGAATCCCGCCACAGCAGATGGTAGAATTTGAATTCAATAAATATCTGGAATTAAGAGTTTAATGATGACCGTGAGTCCATTGTCAATTGTTAGAAAAACCCATCTGGTTCACTAATGTCCTTTAGAGAAGGAAACTGCCATCCTTACCTGGTCTGGCCTACATATGACTCCAGACCCACAACAATGTGGCTGACTCTAAACTGCCCTCTGGGCAATAAATGCCATTCACACATTTGTCGTGTGAATGATTAAAAAAAAAGTAGTTAAAGCAAATGTAAATTTATTAGTACTGTTTTATGACCAGTTAAAATTATGATGATTTTTAGGAGGTATGTAGATGACTTTAAGTGACAGTTTTATGATCACGTGAAGGGATTGCAGTAAAGTCACGATTGACCTCGCAAAGTGTGGTGTGCTTTTACCTTCAGCAGAGCATTAGTACCTGATGGAAAAATTTTGCTCTCATAACATAAAAAGTTAGACATGAGTAATGTACTTCTGAAAGATATCTTCTGGACTATAAACTGGAATGGAAGTTGAACCCTGCTGTAGAACTGAAATACCAGGAGAGTTTTGCAACTTAAAAATATTGAATAGCCCTGGTGGAACTCAAACTGAGTGTTAACGAGCAGTTTATTGCTAAGCAAGTGCTGCTTGGTAGCATTTTTGCTGACACCTTCCATTACTTTACTAATGACCAAGCAAGACTGATGGGGCTGTAAGTGGCCGGGACAGATTTGACTTGCTTTTTCTGTGGAGGACATAGGTAGACAATTTGCTGAGTTGATGCCAGTGTTGTAGCTGTGTTGAAGTAGCTCAGCCAGGCGAATGGCAAATTCTGAAGCACAGATCTTCAGTACTATTGCTGGAATGTTGTCAGGACCCATAGCCCTTGCAGTGCCCAGTGCCTTCAGCTGTTGACATCATGCGGCATTTCTGAAGACTGACATTTGTGATGCTGCAGACCTCCAGTGGAATCCGAGATGGATTAACCTATCAGCACTTCTTGGCTGAAGATTGTTGCAAATGTTTCAGCCTTATCATTTGTGGAGTCGCCTCCTCCAATGTTTTGTTTAATTCCCCGCTGCTCACAACTGGATATGGTGGGACTGCAGAGCTTAGGTGTGATCTGCTGGTTGGAGAATCCAGTTAGCTCTATCTGTCACTTGCTACTTGTGATGTTCTGCCCCTGGTATGCTTTCCTGCATTCTTCATTTTCCATGGTTGCTTCTCTGGCTTGATTGTAATAGTAGAAGGGGGATAAAATGGGCCATGTGATTGCAGATTATGCTGGATTAGTCTGCTGCTGATGATTACTCACAGTCTCTTGTGGATCCCCAGGCTTGTATTGCTAAACCTGATCGATATCTGTCATATTTAACACAACGATCACGTTATGTAACATCGTGGAGGGTGTTGTCGTAGAGGGCTTGGTGACGTGATGCAATGAGAACAACGTCTCTCTCACCGTTGGCAAAGCTAATGAACTGATCACTAACTTAAGAAAGAAAGGAAAACATGTCCGCATCCCCATCAACGGATCTGAGATTGAGAGGGTGAAAAACGTCAAGTTCCTAACAGTGACGATAATTGACAACTTGTACTGAACTTCCCATGTACGTTCAATGGTCAAGAAGGCATAATGATGCCTCTTCTTCCTCAGGTGGCTCAGGAAAGTTGGCATGTCCATAAGGACCCTCACTAACTTTTGCAGATGCATCATTGAAAGCAGACTGTCTGGATGCATAATGGCCTGGTATGGCAACTGCTCTGCCCAGGACTGTAAACAAAAAACTACAGAAGGTTGTGTGCACAGCCCATACTATCACGGAAGCCAACCTTCCATCCATGGACTTCACTTACATAGCTTGTTGCCGTGGAAATGCAGCCAACATCATCAAAGACCCATCACACCCTCATAATGCTCTCGTATAACCTCTTCCGTCAGGCAGAAGATACAGAAGCTTGGGCACCCACCAGCAAGTTCAGAAACACTTCTTGCCAGCCTTAATTAGATTGATGAATGGACTCTCTAACTTCAAATAATGCTGATTTTGCCTAGAACAGGACCTGTGTGATGTAACCTGTATGCCTCTGACTAAGTTTTTTTTCACCCTGTGATCTGTATGTCCTTGCTTACTATAATCTGCCTGTACTGCTCGTAAACAAAACTTTTCACTGTACTAAGGTTATTGTGACAATAAATCAAATCAAATCAAATCAATGCACAGACTGGATTTTGTCTTCACTCAATAACTGTCAGGGACAGAATCCATATGAAGTAATTGCATTGGACGGGGAGAAATCAAGCATGTTTTGGCCTTTTGCAGGTGCCTTCATCACCTGCCACAGACCCAGTTGAGTAACTTTGTTCTTTAGGACTCCACCTGTGTGATCAGTCGTTGTGCTGCTCTTGGTGACAAACGTTAATGTCCCTCACCCACAATGTAATAAACATCTGTTCTGTTAACAAGAATCTATAGACTTATGAATATTTTGTCAAACTAACCACCTTGTTAGCTATCATGCCATGTTTCATTCTGGGATCTGACTTGTACAGTAGTGCAATTTTAATAATTTCTTCCAATCTCCAGCAATTTAGGAAGATTAAGCGAGAGAAGAGAGAAAAGTTGAAAATGTGTGTCTGTGCTATTTTATGGTGTGTTTACAAATCTATAGAAAAAATTCCAGTAATCCTTTATAAAGTGTTGCAATTATCTTTTCTTCCTGATTTGTTCTGGTAGAATTTTTTTTCATATTTATTCTTTAATGACAGAAGCATTATTGTGCAGTGGAAATGGGTGTGATAGAGAAAAAGTACCCACACATTTTAAGATGAGTGTTTGTCATGATTTCATTTTTTTGTAAAACAGTTGGGTTGGTTATGATTCTAATTAGTGTGCATTCTACTTACATTCTAATTAATGAAGAAATAAAATTCTGTATTAAATAAAGTGGATCAACACATTTGTTTTCAGTCATAGTCTTCATCAAGAGAGTATCAAAGCTGTTTTGTTTGCCAAGAAATTGTTGTTTAAGATGTAATATATCTTCCAAAACCTAATTATGAAATGAACTACAAAATAAATGCAGGTTTTTAAAAATAACATTAATGGGATGGTTTGCATAGGCTATCGTCCGAAAAGATCCTTCTCTGGAGATGACTGAGGATGTGAACAAGATCACCACAGCTATTTTCTACTCCATCAGCTCTTCGCAGAGAGGACTGCAGGGGGTAGAGCTTGGAACATACCTCATCAAGCGAGTTGTAAAAGAGCTTCAGGTAGGCCTTAGTCACAACAAGTATAAAGACCAAAATGACTCTTGTCAAATATGGCTGGAATTAGCAACATCCTACAGTCTGAGACCAGTGACAATGAATGAATTTAGTTTGTAGCAGGGGCCATTATACTGAAATATTTTGAAAAGTTAATTTCTAGAGCTGAAAAAATGTCAAGCCTTATTGTTGTTAAAAACTATTCATGCCGCAGGGACTGTGTAAACAAAATGTTCTTAAATGCAGGACAGATATTTTTTTTTAAAGTATCATCTTGTACTGGTATCCATCCATGCCACGTTTTTAAATGATCATTATTCTGTTTTGTTTTTTAAATTTAAAACTGAAAGCTTTTACCAAATTTCTCTCATTTACCATTTCTTCACGATGCTATTCAAGCGATTTGTATGTGGAGTTTGGCATGTAGTTGTGGGGAGAGTGATTGGGAAAAATTCAAATGTAGTCTTCAATAAAAATAAACTGCAGATGCTGCAATTCTGACACAGATAGAAATTGCTGGAGAAACTAAGCAGATCTGGCAACATGAGTGGATGGAAAACAGAGTTAACGTGCTACATAAGAACTAGGAGCAGGAGCAGGAGTAGGCCACCTTGCCCTTCAAGCCTGCTCTGCCATTCCGTAAGATCATGGCTGATCTTTTTGTGGCTTCAGCTCCACTTACCTACCCTCTCACCATAACTCTTAATTCATTTACTGTTCAAAAAGTTATCTATCCTAGCTTTAAAACATTCAGTGTTGAGTCCAGTGCAGTTTGTTTTGGTTCAAACATAGTCTTTCTCATTTATTTTCAATGAAAATCTTCAATATAGACTCTGCGGGTAAAGCTACCTAACCGCTTGTCACTGATTCCAGCCTCAGCTCTTATTATTTTGTGCTGACTCAGTTTTACTGAAGTAATTTACTACTTTTGTTCGTATTACAATGAGGAAAGTCTGAAAAGTATTTTTCGTATCAACTGGCAGCAGTAAGTTGTCATCAATTTGACACCACAAAGGTTTAAGTGCAGTATTAAGCTCCCAAATTTTACAAAAGCAGGTTATCTTTCACCATTGTGATATTTTAAATTTTTCGAACCAGCCCCTCTTTCCAACTCCCTGAACAATGCAGTCAGTTGGCACTTTCATGCCGTGATTTAATTCATGAACATATAAAATGACCTCCTGATATAGTGATAGTCAGTAGCATTTTTTTGTAAACTTCGGGGAAAAATGGATGTATTAGCTTATTTTGTTTGAAAAATCCAAATTGAATTAACATGAGTTATCTGGAATAAGAGACAAGTTGTTTGAAGTAATAGAAGTTTCCTGGAGCTTGGAATATTCCTTTAATTGCTTTTGACAGACCAGAGTTACAATATCCTTCTAAAGTAGATTTGATACAAAAAATAATTTGTGCTAATGAGACAATATGTGCCGACAGTAAAATGTTCCTATTTATTCAGGGTGAAGGTTCATTCAGTAACCTTGAATTTTAGATATGTGTTGAAAGAACAGTCTTTGTATTTGAGCTATGCAAGCTAATCAGCTTTGAATTTAAATTCTGACATTCAAAACCTGTTGATAGACATTCAAATTATAATGTTGACAGTTGACTTTTATACATCACCAATCTCAATGCTAATTTCCACCACCTTTAACAGGACGATTGATATCTCAGTTACATTAAATATTTAGCTTTTGTTACTGCGCTATTTCCTCAGTCTCAGTTTTTAGGTTGAATGCTTGTTTACCTGCCTAATAGATCTAAATGTCTAGTGTATGTTGTGAACATGCCTCATTTTTCTGAATTGAACATCTGTCGGTCTCTTCTGTATTTTTCAATTCTGTTTGCTGTGTTCTAGTTTCTAAGGCTGAAACTCTATCTGCAGTTTTCATTCAGTTTTATGTAATTCAGTTTTTTTTTCTTGATACGACTACTAATCCTTTCTTAAGCTGCCTAGGTCCCACTCTTGAATTTCGCTCCTAAATGTCTCCTTTTTTCCGGTCCTTCTATGAATCCTCCCTGTAAAACACACCTATTTGACAAATTATTTGACTTGTCTTAAAATTAACAGCCAAAAAAAATTCAGAGATCTTTGGGCATAACTTTTCTCTTTAAGGGTCTACGAAGTAGCAAGTTATTTTTGTAAACTATACCTGTTCTGACTGTATTGCTTGCAATACGGTTGGCATGTGCATTGAGTAGAATCTAAACTGGAAAACTCTAAATCTGTAATTTGTGAAGACTGTGTTACTGTAAATGATTGTCTTGTTGAAGATTAATTTGTTTCTTCTTTGTTCTGTGCAATGCCAAATTGTGTTTTTGCACAGAATTCCTACATCCAGGCCATTTCTCTGCCCATCATTATTTTGAAGTTGAGTGCAGAAATAATAAATCAGCAATCATTAAAAGGATTACTGCAGATTGTTCCCATCTTTATTTGTGCTTATTCAGTAGGCACAACTCAATAATATTCAAAAACAGAAATTGCAGGAAAATCTCAGCAGATCTGGCTGGTTCTGTGAAGAGAAAGCAGAATTAATATATCAGGTCCGGTGCCCCTTTATCGAAACTGATTATAATTGGGAAAAGCTTGGTATATATGCTAAAGAGGGGAAAGATGTAAATGATAAGTAGAGGTGGAGCCCAAAGGGAGAGAAAAACAGTTCGACAGACAAAGGAATGGGTAATGGTTAGCCTGGGAGAATGAATAGCTGCTCATGGGGGCCATTAGTGGCTGACAGTGGACCATTTGTGGGAGCAGCCCATGTAATGAAAAGGCATGTTTGGGTAAGGACATGGGAGAAGGTGCTCAAGGCCTAAAATCTTTGAACCTGACGTTGAGTCCAAAAGGCTGCAGGGTTCCCAAGTGGAAAATGAGGTGTTATTCTTCCAGCTTGTACTGAACTTTGCTGGAGCACTGTAGCAAGCCTGAGACAGAGATATTGGTCAGGGAACCTGGTGGTGTGTTGAAATGGCAGGCAACTGGAAACTCAGGGTCATTTTTGCAGACAGAACATAGGTGTCATAGAAAGCGGTCACCCAGTCAGCACTTCATAGAGCAGACCACATTGTGAGCCGTGAATAGAGGAGACTAAATTGAGTGAAGTGCAGGTAAATCACTGCTTCACCTGAAAGGTGTATCTGGGGCCTTTGATATTGAGGAGGGAGAACGTAAACAGTCAGGTTTTACACCTTCTGTGATTGCATGGAAGGTGCTATGGGGGTGTGGGAAAATGTTGGGCAAGGAGGTGGAGTGGACCAATGTGTGCTGGAGGATGCAGTTCCTGTGGAAGGCTGAAAAGTGAGGGGTGGGGTTTATGTGTCTTTTGAACTGTGTTCCCAGGCCAACGTCTCTGTTTTGGGCTTGCTACAGTGAAGCTCAGTGCAAGCTGGAAGAACAACACTTCATTTTCCACTTGGGAACCCTACGGCCTTCTGGTTTGCAGCATTCTTGAGTACAGGTGCATGTTCCTTTACTTGCAACACAGCCACAGGAGTGACTGAGGGATTGCCTTCCTGGTGTGATCATCACAGCAGTCTAACAATCGAATCCAGACTGCAACATACAAGAATATTCAGTCCCACCAGCTCACTCCTGTAGGGTTGAAATGTTTTGTTTTAAAACCTAGTCCTAGTGTATTCTTCATAGGGAAAAGACAAAATATATTGGCAGGTTTGGATGTATGTAATCCGCAGGGCTTGGCTTGCTATTGAACAGGGGAGTTATCTGCTGTTCAATTTCTTTGTAGTCATAAGAAATCATAATCCAGTTTGTTTAAAGTTTCAATCACATCCCATCAGTCACTCACCATTTTTTTTTGCCAACAAGCCACAAAATCTACACCTGCAGTCATTTTGTCTTTTTTTTTTAAAATAAAAAAATCACATTTTGAGATTAAGGGCATTTTTAAAAATTCAATTGCAATATGCATGAGGTTGGCTAGATAAGCATTTATTGACCAACCGTAGACATTGTCATCACTGAATCTACTCTCTTCAACATCCTTGGAATTACCTTTGACCAGAAACTAAACTGAACTAGTTATATAGATACAGTGGCTGCAAGGGCCAGAAATCTTGCAGCGAGTAACTCACCTTCCCAAAGCCTGAGATAACAAGGTGTAGAGCTGGATGAACACAGCAGGCCAAGCAGCATCAGAGGAGCAGGAAAGCTGATGTTTCGGGCCTAGACCCTTCTTCAGAAATGGGGGAGGGGAAGGGGGTTCTGAAATAAATAGGGAGAGAGGGGGAGGTGGATAGAAGATGGATAGAGGAGAAGATAGGTGGAGAGGAGACAGACAGGTCAAAGAGGTGGGGATGGAGCCAGTAAAGGTGAGGACGAGGGGGATTCTGTTTTGGTTGTTATTGCAGGGATGGGCTGTGAGGGATGAGTTGCGGGAAACGCGGGAGACACGGTCGAGGGCGTTCTCGACCACTGAGGGGGAGGAAGTTGCGGTCCTTGAAAAACAAGGACATCTGAGATGTACGGGAGTAGAATGCCTCATCCTGGGAGCAGATGCGGCGGAGGCGAAGGAATTGGGAATAGGGGATGGCATTTTTGCAGGAAGGTGGGTGGGAGGAGGTGTATTCTAGGTAGCTGTGGGAGTCGGTGGGCTTGAAATGGATATCCGTTTCTAGGTGGCTGCCAGAGATGGAAACAGAGAGGTCCTCCCACCCACAGCCTCCAATCTCATCATTCCCCAACCTCGTACCGCCCGCTTCTATCTCCTTTCCAAAATCCACAAACCTGACTGCCCTGGTCGACCCACTGTCTCCGCCTGCTCCTGTCCCACTGAACTTATCTCCACCTATCTCGTCTCCATTTTCTCCTCCTTGGTCCAGGAACTCCCTACCTCCGTCCGTGACACCACCCACGCCCTCCACCTCCTCCAAAGCTTCCAAATCGCCGGTCCCCAACATTTCATCTTTACCATGGACATCCAGTCCCTATATACCTGCATTCCCCGTACCGATGGCCTAGAGACCCTCCGCTTCTTCCTGTCCCGCAGGCCCGACCAGTCCCCCTCCACTGACACCCTCATCCGCTTAGCCGCACTTGTCCTCACCCTCAACAACTTCTCTTTCAACTCCTCCCACGTCCTACAGACAAAGTGGGTGGCCACGGGTACCCGCATGAGCCCAAGAATGCCACTTTTCTAAGAACGTAGATAAACTACATACATACAGCCGTTCTAAAGGATTGCCAGATCATGATGGTAAAATTAGTGGTTGTATGCCAACATGCATCCATTATTATCCATGGGGAGTCGGTTAGCTTAGTTGGTTGGATGGTAGTTTGCAGTGCAGAATGATACAAACAACACAAGTCAATTCCTGTACTGGCTGAGGTTATCATTAAGGTCCTACCTTCTCAAACCCACCCCTCGTTTGAGGCATGGTGGCCGTTGGGTTAAACCACCACCAGTCGTCTTTCTCTAATGAGAGAGCAACCTTACGGTAATTTTTCATTCCTCACCTCAGATGCCCATTATGTGGAGAATGTTGGGAATGCAGCAATGTTGAAATGAAGGAAGAAGCTCCACGCAAGCAGAACCAAAAGAAAAATTACTGTAGGGATATCCATGATTTTTAACATTAGCAGGAACCTGTTGGAATGTCATTCGCCCAACACTTTGATCGAGGAATACAATAAAATTTGCATTATCTGGCACACAGTTGGAAGAGGGAATGCCAGTAAAGTAAAAATTCTGGTTAAGTGAAGCAATACGGACTCGTGTAGTAACCGTGCACCATTCAGTCATTTGAATCCTGTCATAGTTAATTGACCAGAGGAGCCACACATAGTGTTTCAGATCAAAAACAAAGCTGAGTGAGTACTGTAACAGCAAGTGATCACATATAAGGAGTGTTTGTTGATTTGGCTGTGCTGTTATTAAGCTAACAATGGTCAGATGAAGCTCGTATTGCCATCAAGAAACCCATGGTTGCTGGTTATTATCTGTATAGCTTCTAGTTAACAAAATTAATATGTTCGTTCATCAGCGAGGTGGTCGGTAGTTGGAGTTGCCTGTCGGTGATGCATCCTGGTTCGTGAAGTGTCAGCTAATGTAAATGTTAATTTATTATTCTGGAAGATTAAAGGAATAGACAGTATAACTCATCAGGTCATACAGCTTGCTTGCTTCTGTTTTATAAGGTTTCAGTATTGTTTCTGCTGTTGTTACATATATCCACAGTTCTTTATTATTTTATTAACAGTACATTCAGAATGATTCTATAATACTGTCCAGCCTGGGCACTAATTTGTTTATTTATGATGTGAAAGCATTTATAGGCTCCCAAGTAGGTGAGAAATGACAAACTGGCACTTGCTGCAGGAATGATATTAAGAGTAAGATAGAGTTCTCTGCTAAATGATCTTTGATAAATCCAAAGCCTATTTTAAATGTGTGAAAAATATCGATAACTTAGAGTTACAGCTAAGGAAGTACTCAAAAGAAAATTTTTTTTTTGAATCCCATTTTTTTCTAACACCTAACTGATTTTATCCTCACTTGTAGTTCACACAGATGAGAAACAAGTAGACAATAAATGCGTATGCATTGCTCATACTCAATTAATGTGTTACAGTTTAATTTTATCCTGCTGCACAATTTAAAAAAAAACTTTAGTACCTTAATGTGGTACTCTGGAGTATAGACAAAAGACTTGTTCTTGTGTTCCTTTTGCAGTCATTATTCTGTATTTGTTATTAATATTACAAAGCGTGGTTTCAAAACATGTATCACTGACAGCTTGACTCAGTTAATTGGCATATCTTTTTAGTAGGTTGCCAACACTGTGGGAAAAAATCCACAAAATTCACTTCTCAGTTTACAAATGTTGGAACTTAGAGTCATACAGCACGGAAACAGACCCTTCAGTCCAACTAGTCTATGTTGAATATAATTCCAAACTAAACTAGACTACCTGCCTACACCTGGCCCATACCCCTCCAAACTTTCCTATTCATGTATTTATCCAAATGTCTTTTAAACGTTGTAATTGTATCTGCATCCACCACTTCCTCTGGAAGTTCCATTCCAAATGCGAACCACCCTCCTTAAAAAAAAAAATATTGCCTCTCATGTCTTTTTTAAATCTCTGTCCTTTCACCTTAAGACTGTGTCTTGAAATTTCCCATCCTAGGGAGAAGACAACTATCATTAACTCTATATTTACTTCATTATTTTATAAACTTGTATCAGCTCGGCTGACAAGCTCCTACGCTCCAGTGAAAAAAAGTCCCAGACTATCCAGCCTTTCTTTATAACTGAACAGTGAGTTTTGACCAAATTGAGAAGAAACACATCCATTCAGAATATTGTCTGTTTCAGAATAATAACTCACATCAGTTTTACTACGTGAATGTTCTGCAGTTCAATATAAGAAATTAGACAGTGAGAACATCTTTCCCTTAAGAAACTTTTTGTTTCAAAGCTTACATGTAGCCCCATGGCTTAATTTCTTTTCACAATATTGAATAGAATAGCAGAAACAGACTTGGTGAAGCAAAGCAATAATTATAGGATTGTAGCAATGCTACTTTGACATTCATCTGTTTTGTTTTGTCTGTGCTTTACAGGCTGAATTTCCTCAAATGAACCAATTCTCCAGTCTGTCTCCAATTCCCGACTTCAAAAAGTGGCTGCTTGGAACCTTCAATAACAAAGTCAAGGAAGAGAAATCAAACCAGATTTTTACAGAACTTGAATTCAAGGAAATCCAGGACATCATTGAAGGACCTGTGTCAGAAAGACTTCACCACCTACTTTCTAATAATGAGTGGGTGAAGTCTGACAAATTAGTTAGAGTTCTTGAGACACCACTTATGCGACTTTGTGCCTGGTACCTGTATGGAGAAAAACATCGTGGGGGTGCCCTTGATCCAGTAGCTAACTTTCATCTTCAAAATGGTGCTGTGATATGGCGAATAAACTGGCTGGCTGACACAAGTTCTCGTGGTCTTTCGTCATCCTTTGGAATTATGGCAAACTATCGATATCTCCTCGAAGATACCAATCGTAATAGTGTCCAGTACTTGAGAACAAGGCACATTGAGGCATCTGAGCAGATTCTGAGTCTTGTAGCTCAATGTCAGACAATCAGCAAACTTTAACTGGAGCTTCACAGGAAAATGAACTGTTTTGAAAATAATGAATTAACTTTAACCATCATTATTACTTGTTATTGTTTAGATAGCAAGGAACTTCAACAAAAAAAAATTAAACATGAGATTTGTTGTGAAACAGCAATGTTATTTGGCCAGTTTGATTGATAATATATCATGTAAACCTATTTAATGATGAGCTACATGAATGCTGAAGTCTCCAAATGAGAGCAAATTTATTAATGTCTAACTGATAAATTGTAAGCCATTAGAAAGAAAGAATGAACTTTTTATTATGACTTCCATACCACAGAATGTCTTGCTGCCAATGAAGTAATATTGATCTGTAGTTCCTCCTGAATGCCATCCAGTGTTATTGTAACATTTGTCAGTCTGAGAGAAAGAGGTACTTATTTTCAATAGGGCATCAGTGTGTTTCTTCAATTTTAAAAAGCCATCAGAGCCAACTTACTATTAATTATATTGCTTCTCTTTATCTCATTTTTTTAGTTTCACACTGACTTTCCCATGATGGTGACAGCAATCAGTATACCACTGCTGAACAGTCTGCCTCATTTGTGGTTTGTCATTACTAATATTTGCTTTAGCTAGACAATTCCTTGCCAACTCATGGGTGTCATTCTGCCATTTTTTAGTCTAACACAAAATACTACTTGCACACATTTGGACTTGCACCTTGCCCTATAGCTGACTGACCAAAAACAGTTTAATAAGTTACTTGCAAAAGCATTTCAATCTGTCTGTCTTTTCTTCTATCCTTGTTCCTAAGGATTGGGTTGTGGCCTCCCTTTGGAATAGTCTCTGCTTATGGGCGAAGTACTGGAGTGATCTTCCAGTTCCTTCTGCAGAAAGGTTGACCAGGAAACTCTTCCACTTTTATTGCCTACCATCAGCTTTACTGGAGCCATTTACTGGCTGATGATCAATCGGATTATCATAAGTTCAATATGAACTTATCTTCCACAGCTGGCAAGTGCTGAAATGGAATTCAGATCTGGAATCTCAGGCTCAGAGATAAGGACACTACAACAGTGCTACATGACTTCCATATATTACTCTGTAGCTATTGTCATATATTTTAAATCAAAAGTTCCTCTGTGATAAAAGTTCTTTGTTACTGTATATACCTGCAATCTACCTATGGAGATCATTTAAATTGACTTTATGGTTTTGGGGAAAAAAAAACTATTTAACATTGCCATAACATACTGTTACCTCTCTTGTAAGAGAATTTCATGCCATGGCGAGTTTTCAAATTGAATAAATTTAAATATTTACCCTGGCAGTTGTTTGCTTAACTTGCAATGAATACTACAGTTATTTTGCTTTTATTATTGATTATATATTGGACTTTCACTTATGTCAGTGTGTTTCCCTTTTAGACAGTTGGGGAAAGTTGAATATTCATGAAAGCTGTTCTGTTTGTCCCCGACAACCTGTGGAGATGAGCTACAAAAGTTGCAGGAAAATGAAATAAACAACAACTGAACAGACTCCATCAAAAGAGAAATTAAGCCAGGGAAAATTTGCTATCTCGTCTTATAACCTTGTGGTTCCTGACATAGTCATCCATCAGCCAGTGAAAGATATTGTACACAATCATGCTTTGCACTAAACATTAAACATATCTATTAATTGCTATTATATCCCCATCTACACCATGGTCAGAAGCTGCTCAGAGGTTAGGAATCCCATGGAAAGTAACTCACCATCTAACGCACACCCTGCCAAGAATTGCAGTGGTTCAAGCTGACAGCTTGGGGATGGGCATTAAATAAAGTGGCCCAACCAGAATCACCCACATTCCAGGATGAATTAAAAAAAAATAGAATAACCATCTAAGTAATTAAGATAAAGTTATCCAATCATTCAATTAGGAATGTTTTAATTAAGGGAAAATTGTGCATTATGACTTTTATCCATTACTGCCTTGAAACAGTAACTCAACTTGTCATGATAGTGGTAGAATATGAACTATTCATTTTCAATTTTCATCATCTGATTTTAACACCTCTGATCTTCATAGACTCTTTTTAATAAAGGGAAAGCACTGACAATTAAAGTGGCTGCAGTAAACAGCTGACCACAAGTTAGCTCAGCTTCATGATATCAGAGTTAAAAGTCTGAGCTGAAATGAATATCTTCAAAAGGCATTGAAACTCCAATTTGTATGTCCTATTTAAATTATATCTTAATGCATAAGTTTCATATTATTAGTCATGAAAGAGTTGCCTGCAAATTATCCAGTTTCAAAAACAATTTCAGCCCAGACAATGTTTGAATTGGCTGTATTTCTAGCAGTTGCTTTGATAGAGCAGCACAGAGAAAGATGGATTTGGAAACTGGAACTGGAGAAAGCTTGCTCTTACTGCCTTTTTTTGAAAATTTCGGAGATGCATCTGTTCTCCAGTTTAGTAATTCCTTTTGCTCAAGAAAACTTTGTAATGGCCTCGTTATTTGATTCTGGTGAACTGGCAAACTGTTTTTACTGGAGTGAAGTATGGCTGCTAAAATGTATTTAAAATCTTGGCAGCCAATTAAGGATGTAAAAAGAATGAACCACTGGAAATGTGGATTAGTTTTCATACTGTGAACTATGATTGCTGATATCAAGCTGGAATTTAACTCCTCCATTCAGAAATGTCTTACTTTGTTGAACAGTTTTCCCTTGACAAATTCCTGTTCTTTATTGCTTTAAGAGCTGAGTACACTAATGAGCAAAGGACCAGGATGTAACCACATGACTAACTGCCATGTGCAATCCAGCATGTGAGAAGCAGGATGCATTCATAAGTATTAGTAACTTCAAGTTGCAGACTGGGCTGTTAGGTGAACCTTTTTTTTGAGATTTTCAATTAGATTAGTTAATATGTTTACTGTTTTAATGAAAATCTGTAGCTTGGGTTGGGGTTGGAGTGGTTGGTTGATTTGCCGAGCTGACTAATTTTCGTGCAAACGTTTCATCTCCTTTCTAGGTGCCATTGTCAGTGTCTTGTAGCCTCTGTTGAAGCGCTGTTGATCTGTCCCACTCTGAATTTATATGGTCTGGTCTGTCATGATGGGCAGTCCTGTTTCCGGGTACATTGTTTGTATCGTAGTGGTATGTAGATGGGGCCTATTTCAACATGTTTGTTAATTGCATCGGTGGTTGAAAACCAGGCTTCCAGGAATTCTCGTGCTTGTCTTTGTCTTGCTTGTCCTAGTACTGTAAGTTTGTCCCAGTCAAATTGATGTCCTTCCATGTTGGAGTGTATCAAAACGAGGGAGAGTTGGTCTGCTGTTTTGCTAAGAGTTGGTGTTCATGTATCCTGGTGGCGAGTTTCCTGCCCGTCTGTCCTATGTAGTGCTTCTTGCAGTTGCTGCATGGTATTTTATATTTGTCCTGCTCATTGTGGGCAAGGTGTTTTTCGGCTTTGAGAGTAATTGCCGATGTGTGGCTTTTTGTTTGTGTGCTATCCTTATTCCAAGAGGTCGTAGGATTCTTGTAGTCAGTTCTGATGTGTTGCTGACACAGGGTGGGGTGGCCAGTGTTTTGGGGTGTACAGTGTCTTCTTGGTGTTGTTTGTTTGCTGGGTATTGGCGGACGAAGCTGTTAGGATAACCCATTGTTTGCAAAGACTCTGTATAGGTGTTCCTCTTTGTTTTGCACAGCTCTGGGATGTTGCAGTGAATTACCACTCATTTAAAATGAGTCTTGACACAGTTCTGTTTGTGGATGCTCGTGTGGTTACTGTTGTAATTCAGGATTTGGTCTGAGTGTGTAGCCTTTCTGTATATGCTGGTAAGGAATTTCCCATTGTTTGTTCATTCCACCATTACATCTAGAAACGGGAGTTGATTGTTGTTCTCTTCTTTCCTGGTGAACCTGATCCCGGTGAATATGCTGTTAATAAGGTGGTGTGTTTCTTCACAATTTGCTCATTTAATGATCATGAAGGTATTGTCCAAGTATCTAACTCATGGTTTAGGCTGGATCTGGGAGAGGACTGTGAATTCTAGTCTTTGCAGAACAGCTTCCACTATGAGCCCCGAGATGGGTGAACCCATGGGTGTTCCATTAATTTGTTCATATACCTGGCTGTTGAAGACGAAACTCGGGGCTCATAGGAGAAGCTGTTACACAAAGACTGGAATACACAGCCCTCCTCCAGATCCAGCCTAAACTATGGGTTAGCTATTTGGACAATACCTTCATGATCAGGTTCCTCCAGGTTCACCAGGAAAGAAGAGAATAACAATCAACTCCCGTTTCTAGATGTAATGGTGGAACGAACGAACAATCAGGAATTCCTTACCAGCGTATACAGAAAGACTACACACACCGACCAAATCCTGAATTACAACAGTAACCACACTAGCGTCCACAAACAGAACTGTGTCAAGACTCATTTTAAATGAGTGGTAATTCACTGCAACATCCCAGAGCTGTGCAAAACGAAGAGGAACGCCTATACAGAGTCTTTGCAAACAATGGTTATCCTAACAGCTTCGTCCACCAATGCTTTGGCAAACAAACAACACCAAGGAGACACTGTACTGCCCAACACACTGGCCACCCTCCCCTATGTCAGCAACACATCAGAACTGACTACAAGACTCCAACAACCTCTTGGAATAAGGATAGCACACAAACCAAGAGACACACTTTGCCAGTTATTCTCAAAGTCGAAAGACCCTATTCCTACAATGAGCAGGACAAATGTGTTATATAAAATACCATGCAACAATTGTGAGAAACACTACATAGGACAGACGGGCAGGAAACACGCCACCAGGATACATGAACACCAATTCTTAGCAAAACAGCACGACCAACTCTCCCTCTTTTCATATACTCCGTCATGGAAGGACATCAATTTGACTGGGACAAAGTTACAGTGCTAAGACAAGCAAGACAAAGACGAGCACGAGAATTCCTGGAAGCCTGGTTTTCAACCACCGATGCAATTAACAAACATGTTGAAATAGACCCATCTACATACCACATTCATTACAAAACCGGAAACAGGACTGCCCACCATGACAGACCAGACCACATAAATTTAGAGCAGGGCAGAACGACAGCGCTTCAATGGAGCACTGACATGTCTCTTAGAAAGGAGGTGAAATGTTTGCACAAAAACCAGGTAATCTGTGTTACTTGCCAATGATTATGACATGATAATCAATTGTGTTAATCTATGTTAATTACAAATGACAATGACACGATGATCAGTGGCGCTTTCTTATGGGAAACAAAGACAGTGATGCAAGGTTCAAAACTGAAGGAGGTCTCGGGCAAGACTTGAATCAGTGTCATACATATACACTGGCTCCCCAGAAAAAAAAATCCATCTAGAAATTGAGAGTAGTTGATGTGTGAGCCTGTTCAGTGATTTGGTTCCAATTGGATTTTAAAAGCATGCAAGACATAAATAAAAAAAAGTCAAACAGCAATTGAAGATAATACAATGCCATTTTCTTTTAGAAAAAGCAAAAGAACCAGTATCTGCATTGCTGAATTTCTACACAGAGAGTAACCTTTTGGCAGCAAGATTTCTATCACAAGAACTAGCACAAGTTCAATGAGTAATAGGAAAGGCAAATGGATGCTTGATCTTTATTTCAAAGGGAACAGAGAATAAATAGGGAGGTCATGTTCAAACTGTACAAGCCAGTACTAAAGCCACACCTGAAATACTGTGAACAGTTTTGGTCCTCTTGTCTCAGGAAAGATATACTGCCATTGGAGGCAGTCCAAAGAAGGTTTATTAGGTTGATTCCAAGTATGGAAGGAGTTTCTCATGAGGAGAGGTTGAATAGGTTGGGTTTATTGTCGTGGAATATCTACAGTCCAGATAGAGGCCATTTAACCCATCGAGTCCGCACTGACCCTCTGATGAGTATCCCACTCAGACTCAACCCCCAACCCTTTTCCAACAACCCTGCATATACTACGGCTAATCCAACTAGTTTGCACATCTCTGGACACTATGGGCAATTTAGCATGGCCAATCCACCGAACCTGCACATCTTTGGACCTTGGGTGGAAACAGGAGCACCTAGAGGAAACCCATGCAGACATAGAGAAAACGTGCAAGTTCCACAGAAATGGTTGCCCATGGCTACAATCAAACCCTGGTCCCTGGTGCACTGAGGCAGTAGTGCTAACCACGGTGCCACCGCTCTGTCCATTGGCAATACTCACTGGCACTTAGAAGAATGAAGCAACCTTCTTGAAACATAAAAGATTATTAGGAGGCTTAAGAAAGTAAATGTAGAGTGGTTGTTGCCCTATGGAAAAGTCTAGGACTAGTGAAAAGAATTTCA